AGTACAGCGGCAAAGATTCTGACAAGAGTGCTTTTCATTGGATGTGTGGGTTTTTTTCTTTAGTCTTCCATAGGAATAGTTCACCTAAAAATTCACTCACCCTCAGATCATACAAGATGTAGATGAGTTTGTTTCTATATTATAGATTATGGACCTGTATTTTTGGCCAGATATGATGGTTTAAAGTTAAAATGCTTTAATGATGGATTTGTTTCTTATAAACACACAGCTTTTCGCTTCATACGATGTTAATCGATGGACTGGAGTGCTGTGTTTTACTTGTGGATTATTATGATGTTTTTATCAGCTGTTTGGACTCGTATTCTGATGGCACCCATTCACTGCAGAGCATGTGATGAAATGCTACATTTCTCCAAATCTATTCCAAATTAAATACAAACGCATCTACATCTTGGATGGGCTGAGGGTGAACACATTTTCATTTTTGGGTTAACTATTCCTTTAGCTGATGTGTGTAATTTTGCCTAGTTTAATGTGCAGACAACTAGGAATAAGTTGCCAGTAAATTTGATTTATTTCATTGGTTTGAAATAACACAATTGGATCCAGTGATATGACTTTTGGATAGAACAATGTTTGGACCTGTTTGGAAACAGTCACTGAGCTTCATTAATGAAACATGCACAAAATAGATTTTTGTGTGGTTCATAAAACCATTCATATGCTAAATGTATTTGTATTCCTGCATTTTTAATCATCCCTGCAGGCTTAACCAATGAAAATAAATTCTGAAAAAAAAGTCATAGTTATATTTATACCACACAATGGAGACTGTACTCCAGTGAGCATTTCTCAAGGCAGGTTTATTTTTGAAAATCAATTTCTGGCAAGTATTGGCTGGCAAGTATAAAAAAAAAATAAAACAAATCTATTGACCATTTACCATGATTGCTCAGAACAGTGTTACAGTTCATTTAACACACATTGACCTTCTGTGATACCATAGCTCAATAGCACGTCACAGTGGGTAAAAGTGCCTTAAAGAGCATACTATAATAAGCTTTTCAGCAAGTGACCTATTGTAAAAATAAAACGATTCAAGAAGCATGTTATTAAATAGGCGTTCAAAAGTTTGGGGTCAGTATATTTTTTTTTCTTTTATTCAGAAAGGACACATTAAATTGATCAAATTAGCATGCTTTCTGAAGAATCATGTGACACTTAAGACTGGATTAACGGCTACTGAAAATTCAGCTTTACTGTCACAGAAATAAACTGCATTTTAAAATATATTAAAACAGTGGTTTTAAATGATAATAATATTTTAACAACAATAGTACTGCATTTATTTATCAAATAAATTCAGCTTTGGTGAACATAAGAGACTTATGAGACAAAAACATTACCCCAATTTTTTCAAAGTTAGTTTGTATGTTTATAATAAATCAATAATATAGTTGTAATATTTAAAGCATGTGACAACTTTCCCCAACTTGACATTTATAGAAAAATACTCTTTCTATGAGAGCACAGTCTCCTATTTTCTCCTATTATTCAAAATAATGATATACAACATTATTAATGTCATTTTGAAGATAACTGTTGTTGGTTTTATTATATGATAATATGTTGTTGGCTGCCATTATAGCTACATATGTATGTTTGTTTGTTGTTAGCACATTTAGTTCCTATATTATATAATCTCTATATTTAAATGTTATATATTTATATATTTATAATTTATAAATATACTCTTTTATAGTAACATTCACAATTAACATCCATGGTCCTTTTAAAATGTCATGTGCACAGATACTGTGTGAGCCCATACTGCTGCAATCTACTGAAAGTGTAGAACGCAACACTCTATTGGCTGAAATCCAAGGTAGTTGTTAAATCAATACTCCTTTGAAATTTAGTTTTTTCCCCCTCTTGAGCTGCTTAAGGATTTCTAACTCATATGTAATGATTTTGCTGCTGGACATAAGTGATTTCTATTGATCTTCTAATGAATTTCCAGCAGAAGGCGAATACTACTGCATAATTGCTAATAATGCTGACCGAAAGCTTACATTTGAGAAAGGAAGATGGCTCCTGGCTAAATATTGTTATGGAAAACTGCTAACGCACAGGGAATGCAAACTTCGTTCATTCTGTAGGCATTCATAAATGTTTTAATACTGTTATTATCGTCATATAGATGGAGCTTCCTGAAAATGTCAATTGCCGCATGAGGTTCTGGATATGAAGCGGGATTTATGCATATTTTCCCGCCACCATGGGATCAAAGCGTAGATTTGGGTCAAGGGGTTTGGTTTATTAGTTCGTGCACACCTCTGCTTCTTATCAATCTATTTCAGATTACATATGCAAACACGGCAGCAAATATCTCGCTACAACAGTAATGCAATTGCGTATACAACTATGTTCTTTCAGCTTCCATTTTAATATCACGAAATATCTTCACTTGGTTAATACCTGTGGCTTCGAGAAGAAAAGACATTGGCAAAATGAAAGTAGAGATGATTTCTTTATTTGATTCACACAAGATGTTATTCGGTTAGCTTTGGCAATGCTGGAAGGAAAGCAAAAAGGCAGATCTCTGTGCAGGAATGGAAGTGAAAAGACACCTCGGCGGCTTTAGTATTCAAGGGCATGCTTTTCATTACATCCTCTGTATTTGATACATACAACAATCTGTTTGAGAGGAAGACGGCAAGATTAATGCAGATAGAATTCAGTCACAGCACGACGCGGACTACTGTAAAAACCAAACATATACATAAGAAAATCTAGTTATTGCTCACCATCAATAGTTTACTCTAATCCGATTTTATATTCACCCAATGCCTGTTTTATTGTGGTGCTGAGTGAAATATATCACAAAAGTTGATGAAAAGCTGTATCTGTGTCGTTTGAGGCGAATGATCACCCATTCTGGTTTTAAATATTCAGCTATTCTCAGTAGTCCATCATTGCTACGCTAAAAGCAGATTTGCTACAGTGGCTTAGAGTGCAGCGATAACACTGAAGAGCGACGGTAACCTTGAAGAGTCCACTGAGAGTTTAGAGAAAGTCACTGAAACACAAGGCATTGTGGGAATGCCAAATGGAGGCATTCGGCCAATTAGAGGCGAGAATCTCCTCAGGCATCCCAGACCCAATCCCTGTCCCTTAGGGATCTCTCTCTCTCCTTTCTTTGCTCAATCTCTCTCGGCCTCAGTCGCTCTCCCTCCCTTGACTCTTTCCATCTCCTTCCAATTCCAATGCGGTTTGGCTTTTAGTCTTAAACTCTATTAACTCTGACTTATTTTATGCTTGTTCTTTACAACAGAGAGGCACAGATTGAGAGGGGTCAATCAGAGTCGAGCCCATAAGACCGGGAAGGAGAAACTTTTCTATTTCAATTCAAAGGTCTTTGTGGAAAAGAGTTTCTCTTTGAAATGTTGATTCAGTGGCCTCTGTGGGCCTGGAGTTATTGGACCTGCGGAACATTATTGAAAATTGCACGACATCTTTAAAATCCTGTAAGAGAGGGACTTGGTGTTAAGGAAAAATACACCAGCATAGGGAATGTTCAGGCACATATCCTATTTACCTATTCCACAGTGACAATGGGCTCTTTCACACATAATTTGGTGTAAATTGCACAGTATTTTATTGTATTCTGTTCAGAGATCTTGTGTGAGCAGGAGCCATGACTGAATTACTTTATACCTCTCCAGCTAATTCAGCATAGCTAGCTGTTCAACAGTTTATATTAGCAACTTGTTTTGGGAAGAAACTAACTAAAAGTAGTAACTGCATTTATCAGTAGCAGTACAGCAGTCTTGTGAATCGGTTATGTGGGCGCTTTCTGTAAATGAACAGCAAAAAAAAAAAAAAATTATAAAATAAAAATCACTGAATTGTGGCACTGTGTAACATTTTTTTAATGGAATATTTAGGTAAATGCTGCTGTTTAGTTATAGTTTTACTTATATTTATTAAAATGTATACGACCATTCAAAAGTATGGAGTCAGTAAAATGTTTTCATTAGTGTTATTTTAATGAATACCTTTATTCAGCAAAGATGCATTAAATTGATGAAAAGTGACAGTAAAGGCATATACTGATTTAAATAAATGCTGTTTGAACTCCTGAAAAAAAAAGATCATGCTTTTTATAAAAATATTAAGCAGCTCAACTGTTTTCAACCTGATAATAATAAGAAATGTTTCTTGAGCAGCAAATCAGTATAATTATTGCATATATAGTGGCTTAATTATTCCTGTATATACAGCTTACATATTATCATGCACAGGAATAAATTAAAATTTTAAATGTATTAAAATAGAAAACTATGTGTTATGTGTTGTTTTAAATTGTGATAATATTTCTCAATATTACTGTTTTGCTGTATTTTCCATCAAACAAATTCAGCTTTGGTGAGAATAAAAACATTAAAGACATAAGATACTACTACTACTACTACTAATAATAATAATAATCTTACCGACCCCCAAACTTTTAATCAGTAGTGTATATGTTTGATATGTTTACTCTCATTGTGCATTCAATCAAAAACCTGATTAATTGAATAATTAGCTGTACACAAAAGAAGAAGATATTTTGAGAAATGTCTGTGTTTTTTGTCCATATAATGGAAGTCAATAGGGCCTTTCGCACCGCTTTAGTTCCAGAACTAAATGTACAGTACTAAAGTACTGGGACGATTTTGCGGGAACTATTTCCCAGTACAATTTAAAGGGTTGCATTCGCACCGAGAGTGTGTACTAAGAAGTGACGTAAGCCGGTCGACAGCGGAGGGCGTTTTCATACGCGTTTGGCCAATCAATGTCTACTTGCGTCGCGATTAGTACCAGTTGTGCTGGTTAGACCCTGCTCCGGAGTAGGAGCTAATTTGGTTCTCGAAAAAGGCAGTCCGGTACTAAAATCGCACCCAGTTCCGGCGGTGCGAAAACGCCAAAAAGTGGGTAGTTCCACAATTAGTTCTGCTACTATGAAAAGGTTCCCGCGGTGCGAAAGGCCCTAATGGTTACCAAAACTCTTTGGTTTCTACTGATCATCAAAACCTTGTGTCCCACAGAAGAAGGAAAGAAATACAGGTTTTGAATGACATGAGGGTGAGTAAATAATGACAGAATTTTCAGTTTTTTGGGGTTTTACTACACTTTTAAGTAGATTCAGTCAATATCTGCTTATTGCTTGCTATCTTATAGAGTTTAACTAGTTTAAATGTGTCTTACCTTGGCAAGCTAGTTTTTTTTAAAATAGCTTTCCCAACAACATATAAGTTTCTTGGAGAGACATTATGAATTTATGCCTTCACATACTTCTCCATGGACAGAAAATAACAAAGGTTTTCTTTCTCCTTCCAAAGCCCTGTCTTCCCCCATGACTTGTGGTACACTGGAGCAGGATTTTCTTACTGAAACAAAGAAGAAAAATGCTTGAATATGAAAAATACAGTCTGTCATCCCATGTGCTGTAGCCTCTAGTACAATTTTTAAACAACAATAATAAACAAATGTCTTGAATACGGTATGTAGTAATACATCACTCAGACAGTAATTGAACTCGCTATGTATAACTTACATGTCTTACTGTAAGTTAACAACATGGGGGTGTGTTTCTGTGGGTGTCAGTATGTGTTTATATGCAGAGTCATTACGGGTGACTTATGCGTTGCTTGTGCAAGCAGAACTCATGTTGCAGAAAACATTTTGTCCTTCTTTCCGTTGATGGAGAGCAGGGAGGCAGTTTGGCCCTGCAGCACCATTCATTCTGCTCCAGTAGCACTGGGCTTCATGCACGGCGTGGTAAGATCAAGCAGAAGGGACTGCTTTTGAGTTCGGTTTGATCGTCGACCACCTCCGGGCAGATCAACACATAAACAACCAGTGATATAGACCCTCATAGGCCCTGCACTTCAATTACAGCATCACTCTTTCTCTTTTTCACAGGTTAGGTAACTATCCCAATCTCTTATATTGCAAGGCTTTTTAAAAATATTCAAAGTGTGAAAGAAAAGTGACATTTTCAAAGCGTACAGGTGTCGAATGTGGCCTTTCATTGCTTGTCTGTTCTCAGGAAGCTCTGAAGGCTTTCAGATTTATTGACTTTGCTCTCTGTCCCTGTTTGTACATGTTGTTCATATAGTTTTGGCGTCTTTCCATCAGTCTGGCAGAGTGTTTATTCGTGCGCTGCAGGCCACCGGTAGAACAGAATAACACGGCGTGCATCGGAAGCAGCCAGTATCTGTTAGGCTAGACAACTGAATAATACCTTCGTCTCATTATGGACTTGTTGTGTAAGCCGAACAACATGGTGCGAGGTCGTCTGAGGGCTTGGTCATGCATTTCCATCTGCAAACGTGGGCATTCAACTGATCTGACGGTGAATATAAAACACACATAAGAATAGTAGTGTGCTGAGTTGGATGAAAATGAGGCAGTCCAGTTGTTTTCTAGGGTAAGGAAGAATTTGACTGTCCTTTTTAATTAAAGGGCTTAAGTTGGAACATGCACACCCTTGTGAAAAATAAGTACACTTTAGCATACTTTTAAAAAGAGTACTTATTACAGACATAATCAGGGGCATTTCTAGCCTTTCATCAATACTGGGGCACAGAAAAAGTGTGCCCATATTTTTTAACTATTTTTTTTTTAAATACTGTTTTGGAAATAATTGTCAGAACAGAGTCGTTCAAAAGCTGCATGTGCAATAAAGAGCTGATTCGTTGTTGACTAATTATTTGCAAGTTTTGTTTTCTACGATGGATTGTAATTAAATATCCACCTCATCCAACACTCTTTTAGCTTTTTGTCTTTATAAAATATCCCATTACTCTTTCAGTGTGAGAAACTGCTATAAACAATCAGTGTGTAAGTGAACTGTCCTACACGCTCAGAAAAGAAGATACAAAAGCTGTCACTGGGGCGGTACACTTTCAAAAGGTCCATCTTTGCACCTTATTTACTCCTAAAAGCTGCATATTAGTACCTTAAATATACATATTAGTAGTACATAAAGTGTTCATATCAGTACCTTCTGAAAGGGTACCAGCCCAGTGACAGCTTTTGTGCCCTTTATGAGAGTGTAAACTGAATCTGGAACAATTTCAGACTTTTAGATCAAAAGAGTGATTCATTTATGAATCTGGCATTGCTAGTTCTGTTTCTAAACAGATAATAGAGAAAAACACATGACTTGATTGCTGAATTATTATCATTTAATAGGACGTATGTACCTCTTTATTTGGAATTTCATAATTAAATAAATTGCATTAAATCTGCCGAAGGTACTGACAAACATTTATGGCAAATTTACAGAAAATTGTATGGCATGTATTTAAATATATTTGTAATTACACATTTGTAAGGACGAAGTTGCTTTTTAGTACATTTAAAATATTTTAACTTTAAATGTAATATTGAACACCACACTACAATTAAAATTATAATCACACTGTATATGTGCTTTGGTATGTTAGTCAACACATCAAAATATGTTCACTTCTTTAAAGAATAACAAAAGATTAGTAAAACAAAATTATTTAAAATGTACTTTAGAATAAAACCTTTTATTTGACATTATTACAAATTGCACTTTAAGTAAGTACTCTATAAGTACTCTAAGTAGTATTTATTTCATAAAAATTATAATATATGCAAACACAATTTTTTATATATATATATATATATATATATATAT